TTACTGTTATGAACTTTTTATACAATTTGGAGCGACGGACAAGCAACTATATTAACAAGGAAAAACTTCAAAAGTACAGAAAAGCCCTGTCCTCTTTCTTCTAGTTTTTGGTTCTGTCTAGCGATTCTTGTGAATAAATATGTTCTACGTCCCCTCTTAGTATTGGTCACTAAAAATTCTGAAGTCCAGTAACTTGTGGACACGGAATAGAAATAAAACTACACTGGAAAAACCATTTAGATGACACAGCAAAATTTAGCAACATTTTTTTCCTTGGTTCTATTGCAGGAAAGGGATAGCATGCAACCTCGAGTTGTCAATTATATCCTTCATGGAAATCGCAAACCAATATCAAAGAAAAGAATTTCCTTTCTTAGCCTTGCAAGGTTTGGATACCACTTTGATGCCTCTAGAACTAGATTCCAGTTATAGAAAAAAGCATAGTATATTTGACGATTTAAGGCACAAGAAAGCCGCTTCCTCGATTTACCAAAGCCCACCATAAGAAGAAATAGATAAAGGCTTGTCTCAGTCAACTTTCTAGCTTGCTCTTAACAAACACACTTAACCAATTGTACTACCCCCAATATCAATTTTGTTTATGCTGCTGTTGTCTTATTCATAAATGATAAATTATATTGGAGGTAATACAACGTGTCAAGTCTCCATTAGTTAAGAACTAACAGGAAAAGTTGAAGCAAAATATTCTAGCACTTGGCACATTGAATACTAACCGAAGATATTCAAAAACTATTGGCCATCTTTGTTTCCATTATCACCAACTTCAAACTCATACTAAGACAAACAAACTACCCATCCCAACTCCAGGATAATAATAATCCCTCGGCAACTTTGGTCATAGCACTAGGTGTGATTGAGTTCAGCATCTTCTTCTTCCAGTCCAACTAACCAAGAAATGCATCAATGGTTTGAACACGAGAGATTTGAATTTTATTTAATTCTTTTCTCAGGATTTGNTTCCAGTCCAACTAACCAAGAAATGCATCAATGGTTTGAACACGAGAGATTTGAATTTTATTTAATTCTTTTCTCAGGATTTGATAGACCTCAATGGAAAAAAGTCTAAGCTTTTGAAGATGGGAAGTCCACAAACTCATAAATATTGTAATTATTGTCCCATACCGCTAAGTTTTGGCTCATAATCACTTAGGCACCCTCTCTTTACGGCGTGGTTTTAAAGATAACTTCTACCCAATGTAGTTGTAACAAATGGTATTGGGTGATGATCCTTGCTTTGGGTGGGTGACTTTGGAAGGTCTACTACCAATAGAAGATTGGTTCCTCAAAGTCACCTACCTGGAAATGTGGACTGCCATATAATTCGGCTCATGAAAGGGGGATAGAATATAATGACTGTAATTGTGTCCCATTGCTAAGTTTAGCTTGTGGGCTTAGAACCACTTGGACTCCTATCCTAAAATTTGGTTTTAAGGGTGATTCTACTTTTACGGTTTTACCCAATGTGGTTGCACAACTATTTAGCACTGCTCAAAACCATCAAGCCAGACAACAATCTTTGGATTCATCTCAACTCCAACATCCAAGGTTGATTATTATCAAGAAACAACAGAACTCAAACAAACATCCATCTGCACCTCATTCTTAACACACAAACTTCGATCTGGACCCATTCTTTCTCTCTTCAACGTTAAAAAACAAAACTTGTATCCCATAATCTAATGGAGAATAAGATTTTTTACCTGCTCAATAACAAATAATTATAGCAATCCGGGCTTAAACACTTAAGAAGTGCCACATTATGCTATGCACAACCTTTCAGTTTTCCCTGCTTTCCAACTTCTACAGTGCAGCTTAAATTGCAAAATCAAAATATTCATTTCACAGATTTCAAAACATATAATTCTTGCATAAACATGAAATAATGACGCTGCACACTGCTGAAAACTTGTAGTTTGTCTCTGGCATGATCATAGCATTACAAATTTGAATTACTACAGAGGAAATACCATTACAGGATATTTGGTAGTGCTTAAATGCAGTTTTCTAAGATTCTTCTTTTGGCACTGCCACTTCTAAGCACAACCAAACATTCACTTAGTTGAGTCACCAAAATTGTAGATGCATAATCGTATGTATAAATTAAACACCAACACATAATTCACAGGCCCGATGAATGTTTCTCTGCATTTATTCCAACCCACATAACAGAAAACAGAACATAATGTGGTAACGGATAGCTAAAAAACAATGAGAGGGAGATCATACATTGTTCTTGATAATATTCCTGCGGGCAAGAAACCTCGCAACAGGAGGCGTAAGTGCAAAAGTAATCGGAACCCTAACCGGAAACAGAGCCTTATTCAGCAAAACCGCAAGAGCCAAAGCCCCGCCGCTTGAAGCCACCAGCTCGGTAGTCCGATTTCTCTCCTTTTTCACATCATTCTTTACCGGTTGCTCCATTATGAACCCGTCGGAGGAGGCATCAGTATAAATAGTTGTAATTTCGG